CTCAACAGGGAGGGGGCGCCGGAGAGCAGAGAGCAGCACAACTTGCGGCGGCGGCAGTAGGATGAGTCGGCCGCCGTCTCAGCGGAGGAGGGGATGAGGAGCGGAGGCAGCCGGGTGGGGATTAGGCCGTTAGGGTTTTGGGTTTTTGCGATTTTGATTTTTGGGTTGCTCAGTCAGATTGATCGGAGAAAGGAAGGGGATTCTGTCGTGTCCTCCATTCCAGAATCCGGATTTTACAATGTTTTCCTTTTTATTTCCCACTTTCCACCCACGAAGACAATCAGCCACAACAAAACGCAAACCGGTTGGTTCAAACTTCAAGGGCTCAGGGGCTGGGTGTTTGATGGCCCAACCTTTGACCCAATATAACTCCTAAATCCTAATAATAGGTGTTCTAATTTAAACTTGGGAAAAATGTGATGAATTATGTTAGTTTTGACAAAATATTTAAGTTTTGAGTAAGAAAGAAAATGGGAAACAAGCACAGCAACACCAAAATCATATATAGGTTGTAGTTGAACCACTTCATGACAAAAGACAATTCAATCAATCAAATCGGAGTTTCGAAACAATTTAAAGGTTATGTGGATATTTTATTAGCAAAATACACTTTCATAGCCATAACTATTCGCGTTGTGACAAATATAGCCACTTTTTGAAAATACACTCGTATAGCCATTCCGTCCAAAACTTTAACAGCAACATTGTAAATGCTGACTGTACTAACGTTTTCTGGTGACGTGGCGATTTTTTGTTTAAACCAATCCTAGTTGGAAAGTTTCCTTTCTTATTAATTTACTATTATAATTGCAATAAAAAGTAAAAATAACAATACATAAAATTGGGCACGCCTTCTTCATCTTCTTTTCTCCTTCTTCTCCATCGCCACACTAATCGCGGCCGCCACCGCTAAACAGAGGGAATCGCATCGTCTTCTCCAACCACCCACCACCGTCAAAACTTGTTTCATTGACCCCTAACAGAAACCCATCGAGCAGAAACTCGATTATGTAGGAAAAAATACGATTTCGCCGCCAAAACCCATCTTCCCAAACTTCATCCTTCTGCACCAGATTCGGATCCAAATTCAAATTCAAATGTCTTGAATCCTCCTCTCTCTCTCTCTCTCTCTCTCTCTCTCTCTCTCTCTCTTCTATGGCGAAAATGGGTCCAAGCGCCTCCGCAACAAGATCGTCGGCCTCTCCACCCACCCGAAGAAGCGGATCTAGAAGGTTCCCGTCCGTAGCATATCGTCGGCTTCTACCATCTTCGTCAAAATTTTCTTGCTGTGTGGTGGAGAAGAAGAGAGGGAAAAGAGATAAGGGAGAGAGAGAATGAGAAGGGAGAGTATTTTCTGAAAGGGAGAATTGTGGTGAAATAAAATAATTAAGGAAATTATTTAAAATAATCATTTAAATTGAGGTGGCTGTCACGTGTCATACATTTGATGACGTGTACATCCACATCATTGGAGAGTTAACGGTGTTAAAGTTTTGTAACGGAAATGGCTAAATTTAGCAAACAAGTTTTAAAAAGTGGCTATACGAGTGTATTTTTCAAAAAGTGGCTATATTTGTCACAACGCGAATAGTTATGGCTATGAAAGTGTATTTTGCCTATTTTATTTGGAAAGTGTCAGGTTTGTACCAAATTCATGTAATTGAAGAGTGATTAGTTACGACCATGAAATTTATGGATCGAAGATGATCAGAACCGACATGGTAAGATGAGACATATGTGAAACGAAACGTGGTTGACCTTGACATTGTGAGGTTAGTAGGAGTTAATGATGAGAGGTAAATGGCAAACTGTGACACTTTATGTTCTTTGAAGTTTGGGTTTTGGATAGGAAATTCCAAGTTCTTGAAAGAATGTAGGAGATTATGGCAAATGAACGGAAAAACTAAAGAGGAGGGAATTGACACGGCTAAAGAAGGTAGTTACGGAAGTCTCTCGCAAGATTCTGGGAGGAAATCCCAGTAGGGGACACAAGTTGAGTCTAAGAGATGGTTTATAATTGGGTTTTTTTTATTCAACCAATCGACAAGAGAGATACCAACAAAATGTGTTTGTTGGCGTACCACATTTTGTTGGCATGCTTACTAGGCACATTTAGCGGGAAAAATGGACGAAATGAGTTAAGGGGAGTAATCATTGTGTTATGAACAGGAAATCATATGATCATTTAGTTTAGTGTGGAAATGGGATGGGACATGGCGGGTGCCTCAACACTCGTACCTGCCACGCACTAAGCGTCGGTCAGGTAAGATATTTAGCATTACTAATGAATCATACATAATCTTACACTAAGAAAGTCGAAAGCTACTCCATAATCTCTCGTTGAACCTGGCTTGCTAATCTCTCGCAATAACAAGGGGGTCGTAAGCATAGGAGATGATTTCAAGGTTGGTTTTTTGGGTTCAACCAGTTGACAAGAGTAGGGTAGCAATGAGGCGTAATTGGTGACATATCACGCTATGTTGGCATGCTGAATAGACACAGTGACAGAGAATTGGACAAATCGAGTTAAGGGAAGTCATCATTATGTTATGAATTGAAAACCTTAAGTGATTGTTCAGTTGCATTGTTAGGTTATGTTATGATTTTGCGGCATTAAGTATAACTCAGTGACCATTTAGGGTATTAACCTCCAAACTCAACTAAATAATGAATCTAAAATCTAGGTCTTACAAACCCCTCCAACGAAGACCAACAAACTTGAATATTTCACGCACAAAATTGTGGTTAAATAAAAAACTAATATTGGAGTTGTTATGATTAGAACATAACTTTTTGTAATAAAAATTAGCATGTGAAAACGAAAGATCTGACAGTCATAGTCATAGCGTACGAGAAACATAATAATCTTATTACAATTCTAACGCAAACAATATCCTAATAACTAGAAAGATTGAAATATAGTTATTCGCTAGAGAATTTGTCTCTTTAAAACCATATCTCTCGACCGGCCACCCGCCGCCTTCCTCCAACCACCACCACCTTCACCCCCATCCCGACGACAGCATACTGGATCTCGACGACGAGCCGGCCCCATCTTCTCCTTCCGCCTTCGTCTCTGTCAGCATCCCCATCCACCGGATCCCAGACCACCACATCCGGCACAGCCGGCGGCCGTCAACGGGGCTCTCCCCAATCGGCTCTCCCAAATCTATCTCTGCTTTCTTATCCGAATCGGGCTGCCAACGGCTGGAATCATTGATCTCATTTGGCCTTCTTGTGCCCATGGGGTTTTGCTCTCCTGCATCTTGGTGATATCCTTCTACCTCTGTTTTAATTAATTTTCAGTTCGGGTTCCTGGTTCTGAGTTTGATTTGCAGTTTGGCACTTGTTTTTGGCCTTTCCTGGCCTTTAGGGCATCAATTTTGCCTCTTTGGTTGCTGTTAGGCATCCGGATTTCCTCTCTTGTTTTTATATTCTGGTTCTTGGAGCATAGAGAAGAAGCCTCTAATGTCACAAACCCTAAACTCTTCCTCTCAATTTTTGCCCCTTCTCTCCCTAAGGTCATTCGTCAAGTGAAAGAATTTTTCAGCCTGTCGTCGCTTTCCTCCGGCTCTGTCCACTTGTGCGGGTGAAGAAAGCAAACTCTATGGCACCTCCAACGATCCCTTTCTCGATCCTCTGGCGTTACCGGCGGTTCTTCTTGCCTTTTCATCACTTGGGACGATTCTCATGGGTGTCCTTGGCTTTTTCTTGCTACTTGGCCTGGTCGTGGCTTTCTGTTTGTTCGTTTTGCAGGTCAAGTAGCTCCGACTTTTGGAGAACGTTTCACAGGAGCTTGGCTCTTTGCCAGTGGGCGATGGCGATGACGGGGAAGGGTACGGTGACGTGGCCTCGTGGCGCGGTTGAGCGGTGGATATCTATCCTTTCATTTTCCAGCAGAGTGTAAAGTGTAAACGATAGCGGTGGATATCTACCAAGGTGCCACGAAGCTGCTACAACTATTGGCGAGGTTTTGCCTGTTTGTTTATATTTTGCAGGATTAGTGGTATATTCGGTGGAGACTTTGCGGGCTTTTGTGTTGAACTGAGGCCAAATTTACAAGGGTTTGTTGCTTTGCTTCAATTTTCAGCATGGTTAGTTCATGATTTTGATCCTTTTAAGGGAAAGAAATCATGATATTCCCCATGCCGTTCAGGTATCATAGGGCAGCCCATATCGTGGCAGGAAAGCCCTATTTTGTCAGACCTGCAAAGGTCTTTTCATTTTTCATTTGTGAATTGACCTGCAAAGGTCATGTATATTGTTATATACTTCGTATCTGCTGTTCCCCTTTGGGGATATCTATGGGGAAAAAAAACCATATCAAGATCATTGTTATTCTTGTATTGTTTGACCAATAATCCATTAGGGAGATTTATCAAATACAAATAATAATTACCTTAAATTATTTATAAAATTTGTAATCCTCCTCCTGTCAAGTACTCGGAAGCTTCTTATTTTCCCTCCTTGCTCAATCTAATGAATCAATCCCACCTAAACCCGTTGACAAATTCCCTTCCAAAACCTTCATCTACAGCGCTTGAAAGTGAGATTATTATCACATACTGAATCATCTCCCTCCATAATTTCTCCTTTCTCAGTTCTCTAGCAGAATCATGCAGACCATTAATATAATAGGCTTTCGGTGCTACCATTTATCTTTTACTTTTTCCCTCTCCACTCTTTCACCTTTACCTTTTTCCCCCATAGTAGAATCCAATTCAGTTGTTTGCTGCTCTGCTTCGTTTGAACTCCATCTTTCTTTTACCCTCTCTTTCTTCTAGGGGTCGCTCTCTGTGTCGTGATTATATAGGACAGGGAATAGAGAGCAATCTGGCGGAAGGCAAACAAAAGCGCAAAAAGCTAAAGCTGCCGTTGCAATTTCTGACTTGTGGGCAAAAATCTCCTGAAATTCCTCTGCCCCTGTTTTTCCTCTGCCTCCATCGATATATAAACCCACACTTCCTTTTTCCTCTCTGCCCCATTGATGCCAGAAGAAAATGGCGGTGGATGTTTGGTCGGAGATTTCGAGCGCAGGTCTAATCAGTCCAAGACTTTCCTTCTCCCGTGACCTCACTCAGACAACAGAGCCGGAAGCCGACGCCGGTCACCGCTCCAGATCAGATTGCTGTCTTCTCGACCCCGACTTCGATTTCTTCATCGGCGGCGGGAACGATTTCCGGGGAGAATTTTCCTCTGCCGATGAGCTCTTCTCCAACGGCAGGATCTTGCCTGTAGAAATCAAGAAACAACCGCATCCGCAGCAGCAAACTCAAACTGCCACCGGGAAAGAAACGATTCCCATTCCTCTGCCTCCGCCTCCTCTGCCACCGGCTCAGCAAACTGGGGAGAATGATTCTTCTCCACAGCTTGAGTCGGAGAAGAAGAAGCTGCTGAAGGAGTTCTTGTCCATGAGTCTCGACGGAGACCACGAAGAAGAACAGAGTCATAACCCGCCGCCGCCCGCGGCGGTGGGAACGAAATCTTTCTGGCAGTTCAAAAGAAGCAACAGTGTAAACTGCGACGACATCAGCTGCCGGAGCAGAGGAGGGCTAATCCGATCCCTACATTTCCTTTCAAGAAGCAACTCAACTGGGTCGGCTCCAAATCCATCCAAAAACAAACCCAGGGAGGAAAACCCCCGCCATTTGCGGAAGCAGAGGTCGGTTCCCAACAGGAAATCGCCATTGATGCCCAGCAGCTCTGTACCCTGTTACTATCCCTACAATACCGGAGGGCAGCAACAGCAAAAATCGAATCTTCCGGCGTTGAGGAAATGCGGGTCATACGGCAATAACGCCGCCGGGATTAGAATCACTCCGGTGCTGAACATCCCGCCACCGGCTTTCATGTCCAGGGGAACGGTCAACTTTTTGGGGCTGGGCTCTCTGTTCTGTAACGGTAAGGTTAATAAAAAGAACAAGAAGAAGAGATAGATGATCAAAGTTACCATCTTTACTCATTTTCCTTTCTCTTTTGCCATTCTACATATAAATTTGATTTTTTTTTTCTCCTTCGATCTGATCATATGTATATATGAAATCCTGTCGAAAGTACAGATGTATTTGGTTGCCTGTCAATTTGGTTTCTGGATCAGCCTTCCCTTCCATGTGACCTCTTACTACTCTCCACATTTCTAATCAAATTATTGGATCTAAGAGGATGGGTTGCGACAAAGAAAGAGTCTTTTCTTTTAGGTATGGTGCAGGCGACAAAGTTAGGACTTAGGAGCATTCCAGTAATAATTCTCTTGAAAATCTGCTATTAGTACTGCAATGTGGTAGCTAGACATCTGCGTGGACGAATGTACTTGTGACGGGAGTTGATCATCGAGTATTGACGTTGTTGAACTGTCATCCTCGATTCAACAACTGAAAATGCTTAAGAACGATCCAACGATATCAAATACAATTGAATAGTGAATAGGATAGGGATTCTGAGTCCAAGAAAGGTAATTCTTTGTGGGGTTCTTGCCCTATCAACATGCAATGCCTTGCCTATCATTCTATCAACATGGCCAGACTTGGCAGACAAAGAAGCAAAGCCAAAGCATCTTCTTCCTTTTGCCTTTGTCTTTTCTTTTCTTGTGTTTTCCTTTTGGGTTTCACTATGGCTAGTTCGATTACCATATTAATTTGTTCTTTTTGGTCATTTTGTTGTATGTAACACTAAATATGGTTCCTTTCTCAAGAGTGATGATCGTGTCATCATGTCATGGCACTAATCAATCAAAGATAGTAGTTCCAGCTTAGATATTCAAAAGCACTAAAGCTAAGACAGTGCAAAATCATCTAGAAAAGGTTGAAACCGCAATATTGAAACCATTATGAGTCTTCCGAATATTGAAACCGCAAAATGCAGCTATGAAGGGGTTGGGATGTAGCTAGTGAACATTCTTAGCTTAGGGTGAACCAAGAAAAGGTTGAAATAGAAGACAGGAGGGTGGGAGTGAGTGATTGGCAGCATAAGATCTGTTGCATGTTTAGCATCCAAAGACAAAGGTGGAACTTGGAAGGATGACTTCAGTAGCATGACTGTGTAGCATGGACAAAAGGTATCTGAACTCTGAAGAACTGTAATTTCTGAAACTTGTCATTTGTTAACCTATTCATATGGTTTTCTTTCTTTATTAGGGAATGTGCATCTATCTCTATAAAATAGTAGCTATGATGCTGCTGCTACAATATGAATTTTTGAAATAATCGTATGCTACTTTTATATTATTAACTTGATTCTCTTGTGGTGATTTGTAACGTATGGTTTTAGATAAGCATAATGAAATATAATAATAGTACTACTTGAAGACAAGTTTTTTCAATGCTTTCCAAGGGCAACTTTGCTTGACCAGAGAGAATAACAAAGCAGTCCAGGAAAAGGGGGGGGAGAAAAAGAATACTGAATTTTGATAGATGCTTTCACCATACAATTAAGTGGTTGCTAAGTGAATGATTACGGAGATTGATTGTCAATTTGGATGCTTATATTTAAAGCTATAATAATTATTCAATAGTATGTTTCAAAATCCGCAAAGTAAAAACAGGTTATTTTGTGTTGTAATTGTAGTCCTACCGTTTTGCTTTTCTTTCGATATGTTCTTGAGAGCTCACTCAATTTCGGACAGCAATAGACATGCACAAATGGGGTGGACGATATTGAGTCATTTGATCCTTTTTAAATTTTTTTTTACTATTACAAGGTGCTATTAAAGCGATGAGGGAGTAGAAAACGAGTGTCGCCTCTGAAATTCGAACCTGGAGGCTCTCGACTGAAAATCAGTGACACAACTAGGGCTGTTAATGAGCCGAGTCGAGTCGAGCTTTGCCTTGTTCATGTTCAAAAACGAGCCGAGCTCGAGCCCGACTCGTTTATAAACGAGCCGAGTCGAGTCGAACACGAGACAACTCATTTATTAAATCTTGAACATCATTAAGATCGAAAGTTCGGCTCGAGCTCAACTCTAAGCTAATTTATAATATAAACACCCTAATATTTATATGTCATATGTGATACATGTGATTACCTAATGTTATGTCATATATGAGACGTATTTGCTTACACATACTCAACGTATTAAACACCATATGAGGTGATATATACAATTTAATAATTATATGCATCATTAACAAACCAACTCATAAAATATAGATTGATTTTCTCATAAGCTGTAGTCGAGTTGACTCTCTAGTCACAATGTTGGGACATCTCATAAGCTCAAAACGAGACAGTTCATGGTTGTATTAAACGAGCCACCTAATCGAGCTAGTTCACGAGCTTCACGAGCCGAACAAGGTAGAGCTCAACCTCGGCTCGTTTATTAACGAGCCAAACTTTTTTTTAATTTAACGAGCTTTTATCGAGTTCGAAATCGAACCGCTCACGAATAACTCGGCTCATTAACAGCACTAGACACAACCACTCGGCCACGGCCTCATTTGCATCTAGTTGAGACCACTACTTTGGATGTGCCCATCTCATAGATGGGCTGAACTCTGAAGACATACACAAGCTATGCAACGAGAAAGTTCAAAGCCGAAGTGGCCTACGATCCAGAAGCGAAGAGAAAAAGGGCCCCAACAGCTAGGCCTATGATTCCAATGGGCCAAGCCCGTTTCCACCGGTTGGCCCAGACGAAGCCAGTACACCGGTGCTTGCTTTGACAGGGAACCAATCTCCGAAACGATTTCAGATCCACACGTGACGTGAATTTAAGTCGTTAACCAATACCATCAATCATTAATTTAACATTTTTATAATTTTTTTTTTTTTTTTTTTTTTTGTGTATAGGGAATGAAACGCGGCAAGCGTATGGAACGGAGTCGGGTGGGTCAACTCAACTCGCTTTACTCAAACTGCCATCCCCTTGGCTTGGCGGCACATCGACGAGAGATCCTCCAGCCCACTATTCTTTGCGCCTTCCGCCGTCACTGTTCGGCCAGAATTCAACTTCTCCCAATTTCCCGGTCTTCCATTCAGGTCAAGCTCAGCCACTTCCACCCTCCTTTTCTTCCCACTTAACAAAACATCACACAGCAGCTTCCCTCCTCCCGGCCATGGCTTCTCACAAACTCCAGAGGAGACACTCGCTCTCTCAAGTCTCAACTACCCAGAAGCCATGGTTACTAGCTTTGATCTTGTGCTGTATACAATACAACCGAGAGGATGCTAAGAAACTGGAACTGGAAGGCGACGAGGCGGGGCCACTTGTTCATCTCCAGAAACAGTGAAATGGTCGGAAGCATCTTGCAATTTCCCAGTAAGCTACTTGATCAAGTACCAGAATAAGTTGATGAATACCATCTCATAAGAAAGGCTAGCATGGATCTGCGAGTGCACGAAACACCCGGATCTCTGATTATCCATCACGTATATCCAGATTCGGCATCGAACAAGGGATGGACAGAATCTGCCGAGTTTAAATGGGAACTTTCTATCAACTGAAACAGGTGACAACAGAATGCTGAAGCGAAGCTCCTCCCAGTTCTCTGTACACCAGACGCCATACCTCTGAGGCTGCAACATTAATTGGACCAAGTTTTGCCCCCCTTCAAAGCTCATGGTTTCTGTACAAGCTGTCAACATAATGCTACTGCAGCAGTTCAAAGAACCCACAGTGACCAATAAATGGAACCACAGTTGCTGCGAGCATCAATTCTTCAATCGAACTCAGACGTGTCGAAGCATCGAGGGTGGTATTCGGCTTTGAAGACTTGAGTGTTCTTGTTCAGGAATTGCACAAACATATGAACAGGTCCCCAAACATTGATGTTTTGACCTGGACTGACAATGCAGGAACCAGAGAAGAACATAGGGTAACAGGTGAAGAAACTATAGATTTCAACTTTCCAATAGCATCCCAGGGACTACTACATTGGTCAGAGGATTCAAAAGCTAGAAAAAACTTGAGAAACCAAACAAGCAAAGAAGAAGGGGGGTTTGCCCCTTCTATCTAAGAAGCATTTGCCCACTATTCTTTACAGGACATTATTATTCTCATGATCTTTGATAAAAATAAAAGAACTATAAGTTTTGAGAAGAGAACAAAAATTAACACTTTCAAGGCACCTGAATGAGCCATCAGGAGTAAGTAGAAGCAACCTGCTTCTTCTATCAAGTCCCTAATTCCCACTGAGATTGTGTGCTTTGCTTTGATTTGTGCCACCCCATCTTCAACCTCTGAAAGTTTACCCAGTTTGAAAGCAGGAAAGAGCAATCATCTTCAAACCCTGAACATCTACTATCTCTGCAAACCAATGAGATCGAAGCACAGTTAGTATTCACCATTTCATGAATTCGACATATCAGAGCAAGTAAACCAGAAACTGAACAACTACTAATGTAAACACTAGATTGATTTCAGAAACTTGATTGGGAGAGCATTTCATGATACCAGAAAACCACATTCATATTCAATTTACCTTTCCGATATCAGGAATCTCCGGCACCTTGTAGGAGTCGACGGTGACTTCCCCCAGCCACAGCCCAGGAAAGAGAGTCTGCAACCAGAAATCGGATCAATCGTAAGTCCCAACAGGAAGAGGAGATTTTGCCGGTGTAATTGGGGAAGGAAGATGGAACAAAAGGGATCGATCAATTTGACTTACATCCATCTGCTTCTGAACAATTCTTGGTCGCTTCTTCGGCCGCCGGGCAGGTCTATGGCCGATCATGGCCATGAAATCATCTTCGATCTCCTTCCTCGATAGACTCACCGTGAACTTGGCCCTCGGCTCCTTCTTCTCACCGCCTCTGAGCCGAGGCAATTTCCCGCTGTCACTCCTGATAGGAGAAGACCTGCTGCTCTCTTTCGGCTCCTCAATCCTCAACCCCTTCGCCGTAGCGGCGCCGGCCGGGCTCGCCGATGCGCCTGCGCCGATCGGCGCGTTAGCCGTCGTCACCGGCGCTTTACACGCCGCTCTTCTCGTCCTCAGATTCCACG